ATATATATATATATATATATATATATATATAACTTTTAATGACTTTTTATTCAAACTAATATAAGTTTCATTCGTGGCGGATTACAATAACGGTTTTTGTTTTGTTTTGAAGAGTATTTTCTGCAACTGTGATGTATACAGGGAAGAAAAAAATTTCCACATATGTCATTTTAGAAGGTATAAGGTGTTTCTTGACGATTTTCGAAAGAGTGTATAAAAAATAAAAAGACATAAAAAAATTTAAGTGGCAAAGTAACGTATCAAAAAACGTTTTTTTGCTTTGCATTTTAGGTACCACATTCTTCTTTTTCTCGGTGTACTTGGCTGAAGATAAACATTTCACAGGTGTTTGGAAGCTAATGGTAGTTGATCTAGAAAAAAAGTAGGCCTATGACAACATAAACTTACATGAGAACAGTGCAGTGTGCTGCACTGGGTATCGCAACCGAGTCTTACTGAGTCTGCTGTAGAAAACGTGCGAAACAAGTGTGCGCCGTAAAACCATTTGGACGTCACCGTAGGGATTATAGCGAGGGGGGATCACAGCTTAGTATGGGTTGCACGAGAGGAAAATTCGCACGGCACTACTCATTCTGAGAAGAATTAAACTGTGTCGACTAAGCTTGCAAATGGGCCTCTAGTCTAGAACGAAGTGCAGTGGGTGAACATAATACAAATTATCATTAGACCGTCTTCAGACAATGGTAGGTCTAAGAAGTCAGCAAGACAAATTTCAGTCTTCAAAAAATCACCTTTGCCTGATGCTGTAAATTTAATTATCGTCTGTACACTGAGGTCCAAGTGATTATACGGCGCGCGCTTGCATCCTATGCTTTCTACAGCAAACCTTACAAAGCTTAATTCTGAAGGCCGCGTGTCAACCTGCTTCTTCTTGCTTTATATTTTCCTTTTGAGATTATCCGAGCTAAATTTTTTATAGATTCATAATATTTCAAAGCAATAGCAGCCGCATAAAAAAAGCCATAAGTTGTAGCAGCTTACACCCTATAACCCATTTTTCTTCGACTCACATTTTCAGCTTCTAAACGGCTACAGTGTGTTTAATTTGGTTCATGGACACTAGAAGAATCAAGAAGAAGTGTTTAAAAAGTATAACCAAATGAAGAAACAGGTTTTAACATATTTACCTACTTGAAATGTAAATATTACTTTTAAACCTTCTTATACCTCTTCCATATTCTTCCCAATTTTCTGAAAACTGCTCAAAAGCAGATCGTACCAATCGGTTGCTTCCAGAAGTGGTGTATTTAGGATTTTTGTGCCCTCCCCTGCGTTCTTCACAAATTCAAAGAATGCTCCTCAAAATGCAGCGAAACCCGTTGCTTTGAACGATTTGAGAAAAAAGTTCTTTCAATTTGAATAACATCTTTTCCGAAAACAAGTATTCATAATTTTATAACCGCTGTATATATATGGTAGCTGTTGAAATAGAAACGGAGGAGAATGAACATCTGGGTAATGTGATAAGTCATTTTTTCGGCAATGATTGAAAATCAGGACAGTGGTGAATGTTTTTTTGAAGCAGTTTTACTCTTTTGAATTTCTGCGTAATTTGTTTCAAATTAGTATTCTTTAAAGCTAAGAGGAATTTGCATGGGTGGATGAACAAATTGGACAAATCATGGTTGCATAAACTGCGTTTGATTTCTTAATGTTTGAACTGGAAATAATTTTGAAAGTTGGAATTTTAAGTTTAATGGCAAGGGGGGAAAGATTTTTTTTTATTTTGTTTTTGCTTCCATACTAATTCTAGTAAAGCCGTCGTTGTTTCGAACAACCAGAGAAGACCGAAATCAGGGCGTAAGGAGGACGAGAGAAGAAAACTGATGGCGGGGAACACTGTCGGAAGTGCGGATATTTCTAACTAATCTCCCCTAATCCCTCTTATTATTGATACTAGGTGTTATTATTGTGAAGGAGGAGAAACAAAAGAGGAAAAAGTGAAACATTAATCAAATCTTGACCTTCAAATTGCCTTTACCAGCTTCTTTTAACACTATTTTTCCTCCGCTTTATTTTTAATTTTTTTCTTTCCTTCCGCATATTGATGTTTCCAGACGAAGTTTCTGTGATACATTATACTGGTAAGAAAAATGAAGGGAAAAAATCTGACGGCACTGAACAATTTAACAAAAGTTATAAGATTTTATAAAACAAGATATTTGTTTATGAAACACTGAGATACCCTTGCTGTTTTGTTGTGCAAGAGCGAACAAGAAGAAGGAAAAAGAAGATCAAAAAATATTAAATCCAACTGTTTTTTGTTTAGTACTTCTTAAAAGAAAATATAAAAAACAATAACAGTTTGTAGTAAACGTTTCAGCAGAAAAGCTATTTTGGTGTATGGATTGGATGGATGGATAGATCAAGAGGTACGTGGATCTCATAATAACTCACATTCAAATGGCGCGATAATGCTCTATACAAACGTTTGTTTAAAAAAGCTTGTTCACCACTTCTAGTTCATCGCTCAAAGCTAACTGATGCTTAGTTTTTGACCATAGTTACGACCACTGCCAATCCGTCAATAGATTACTGTCATTTGCTTTCATTCAAAAACTTGTGTCCAGCCTTCAAAGACACACGGAGATTTATCGGAAAAACTTGTTGGTTGAGAATGACAACGATGATGCGATGACGACAATAAGCCACAAACGTCAAGCACAGAAAATTTTTCCATCTTTCTTCTGTATTAATGCTATTATAAAAAGATGAGGAAGTAGCAACAACGTTCAACATTAATGTTATCGCTTCAACGTTATTGAGTAATCTATGGGGAAATTACTTTTTTTTTCGTTCTTTGTTTCTTGTATTGCTTAACTCTGCTCTGATTTTATTCCAATCGTCGGCGTGCTCCTTCTACACAAAAAATGATTTGGATTTCTGATTAACTGGTTATGTGTGATGAAGGAAGACAAAACACGTTAAAAAAAATCAACTTTCATTATCCTGTCCCAAAGTTTATTTAGATCATTAATTATTGACTCCTATTATTACAGTTTTAATTTTGCTACTTTAGCAGAAATCTGAACATATTTCTTCCCCTCCCCTCTAGTCATATGTAAAAAGAACCTAACAAAATAGAATAAATGAAAATTTTTGTCCTAAAGTTTATTTAGGTTGTTAATTATCGACTCCTATTATTACAGTTTATTTTTTCTATTTTAACAGCTATCTGAAAATATCTCCTTCCCTCTTCTCTAGTCATATGTAAAAAACCTAACAAAATAGAATAAATGAAATAAAAAAATTTTCATTTTAAGCGAGTGAATTTAATTGAACAAGAAATGGGGAAGTTGTTTTCCTTAAAAATTAATTTTGAAAATACTCTAGTTAAAGCTTAAATTTTTATTCTCTACTCAACCGGTATCAATAAAAAAAATGAAGGAAAATTTTTTTTTTGTTCCTACTGCCTCTCCTAACAATAACTGATTATTAAAAAAAGTAAAAAAAAAAAAAAGAGAAACAAAATAAGTAAAAAGTCTCCACAAATACTCGAGAAAACAACGATGAAAAAAGCGGTTTTTTTTTTCCGTTGAACCTGCTGTCTACTCAACGTTTGTTAAAAGGTTCAAATGTGCTAGAGCTGTATGAACATAAAGTCGGTCTTTTCCTCCTACCAAATAGTATTTACGTATAGTATTTACGTAACCACAGACAACGACGACGACGGAGACAATAGCAAAAAACCGAAAGACTGTAGACATACATAGACATACATTTATCGTACAAATGTACAAACTAAAAAGATTTCAACATTTTTTTTTTTATTGGATTGGAGGGTAAGAGAGGAGGGTTGAACAATATTCCGTGTTTGAGAAATGTTTTTTGTCATTTTAGCGACACAGTTAAAGCA